ACCCACCCCAAGGAGGAAAATTAAACAGAAGTATGTCTACAAATTACACAATAAATAAATAAAATAAATATTTGAAATTATATTTTTAAGTAAAAAAAAAAAAAGGGAAAAAAAAGGTAATAATAATACAATAAAAATAAATGGAAGAATAATTACAACATCACCAGATTGCATCTTGGGTCTAGAAATTACACACAGAAACCATAGGTTAATTAAAAAAAAACATATTACAAATCAGCAAAGATGGATGGTGTATTCTTGACAAAATTAAGTAGAGGGTCCCAGTTTTTATAAAATTTGTCAATGGAACCTCTTAGTGCGAACTTAATTTTTTCAATATATAGAAAAGACATCAAATCCTCTAGCCAAGAGAAAGTAGGAGGAGGTTTAGTAGACTTCCAGTGCAATAAAATTTGTCTGCGAGCTATCAATGAAGCAAAGGCAAGAATATTAGCATATTTTTTTGTATAATCATCCAAAACTGCTGGGACACCAAAGATGGCAATAAGAGGGCATGGATCGATAGAAACATTAAGGATGTTAGAAAAGGTATCAAAAAAGGAGGACCAAAAATCTTCCAACTTTGGACACGTAAAAAACATGTGGGTATGATCCGCAGGAGCCAGAGAGCACCTATTGCATGTGACATCCACGCCTGGAAATATCTTACTTAGTTTAATGTTTGTAAGATGAATTCTATGGAAGACCTTAAACTGAATCAGACTCAGTTTGGCACAGGATGACGAAGAATTAACCCTGTCAGCAGCCACTTCCCACCATTCCTGACCCAAACTAAAACCGAGTTCTGTCCCATTGATGTGTTAACCGAGCAGAGGAAGGCAAAATATAAGGAAAGAATTAAATTGTATAAAATGGATATGGATCCATGTTTCTGTATTAAACACTTCTCGTATAAAGAAGGTTCAGACAAGCCTGGGAAGGAAGGACAGTGAGAATTAACAAAATTGCGTACTTGAAAAAAACGAAATAAGTTAGACTGTGGTATGTTAAATTTCTTTGATAGATCAAAAAAAGTTGTAAAAACACTGTCAGTAAATAAATCAGAAAAATATGAGAGGCCTCTATTTTTCCATAGAACATACGCAGAATCTAAGGTTGAGGGCACAAATAAATGATTATTGCAAATAGGACCATAAAGAGAAGCAGCAGCCAGTTTAAAATGTTGTCTGAATTGACGCCAAATCCTTAGGGAAGAACAAACAACTGGATTGTTAGTGTATTTTGAAGGGCGATTGGACAAAGGAGCACACACCAAGGCAGAGAGCGAGGATGAAGAGCAAGACTGTGCTTCTAAAACACACCAATCTATATGGGGAGAATTATACCAACTGTGGATTTTGCTGATGTTTGCTGCCCAGTAATAAATCAAAAAATTTGGCAGAGCAAGACCCCCAACTTTTTTATGTCTTTGAAGATATGCCTTGCTTAGCCTGGGAGGTCTGCCCTGCCATATAAAAGTAGAAATAGCCCCATCCAAAAGCTTAAAGAATGACTTGGAATTTTGTTTTATTTACGATCACTGAGAAATGTTCTATTATTTAAAAAGCAAAAAAAAAATTTTTTATTATTATTTTCAAGGTGAAAAGGATTCATTTGCCTGGATCCACGCCGAAGAAAACGTCTAAAAATATTCCACTTTGGAAAATGTGTAGATGTCAGGTTTTCATTAAACCGAAAAAATGGAATTTTGTTTTATTTACGATCACTGAGAAATGTTCTATTATTAAAGTGCAAAAAAACAAAACAAAAAAAAAAACAAGGTGAAAAGGATTCTTTTGCCTGGATCCACGCCGAAGAAAACGTCTAAATGTCACATTTTTAATGAAGCAGCCTAATGAGTAAAATGTCTATTTTCTTGGGCGTCCCCCAGCTCCTCGTTTAATCAAAAGGTACGCTAAAACAACGTATTACATCGACGTTAAACCACGTTAACGGTGTTAACCATAACCTTTTAAATACTCGACCTAGTTCCGTTGCTTAGCAACGGGAAGAAACTCCTGTAACTTCAGTGCCCAACCCGTATCACGACAAGACGTGAAATAATCACGTTGGTCCAATTTGGAAAATGTGTAGATGTCATGGTTTAGTTTAAACTCAAAACCATAAATAGGGCTATACTGCCCTCTTGTGTCAAATTATATTTCTATATTTATTTTTCCAACAAATAAAACCAAACCGTCAATAAAAATTCATTCAATACACCTTTGAACTCAACAGATTCAGTGGCTCAATTGATAAAGCGTTGGGCTTTAATCAAGAAGATCTGAGTTCAAATCCCATTCTTGCTTACGTTAAATTGTTGTGATTATATCAAACAAAGTGGCCAAAACAACATTTCTTCAACCCGGTATCACGACAAGACGTGAAATAATCACGTTGGTCCACTTTTGAAAACGTGTAGATGTCACGGTTTAAACCCCCTCAAACGTGAAACTTACACTTAAACTGAAACTTACCGTCACGACCTATTGGTTTTCATTAAACCGAGAAAAATGGAATTTTGTTTTATTGACGATCACCGAGAAATGGTCTATTATTTAAAATGCAAAAAACATTTATTATTTTCAAGGTGAAAAGGATTCATTTGCCTCGATCCACGCCGAAGCAGCCTAAATAGTCCACTTTGGAAAATGTGTCACGGTTTAACCCCCTGAAACGTGAAACTTACACTTAAACTGAAACTTACCATCACGACCTATTGGTTTTCATTAAACCGAGAAAAATTAAATTTTGTTTTATTTACGATCACTGAGAAATGTTC